CTGAGCCCGCGCCGCTGCCGTCGCACCGAGCCGGCGCGCCTGACCCCGCCTGCGCCCACGCGAGGATCCGCAGGGTGGGGCTGTCCTCGGCAGCGTCCTGTGCACCTGCACACGCCGGAGAGGGTTCCGTAGGCAGCCCCGAGCCCGAGCCGCGACAGGCGGTGGCCTTCGCGCTTTCGCCATAGGGGGTCCCGGGCCGCAGCTGTGGGACCCGGCCTGCTGCTCACGACCCCCTCTCCTCGGGCAAGGCGCCTGACCCCTCGGGCTCCGAGGCGTCCCTTGGGGGTGGGTCGTGGAAGCGGAAAGCGCAGCGTCCCAGGAACTGGGTGAGGTGCCGGGAACGACGCCTCCGCTGCCTCCCTGCAGGACTGGGCTGGGAAGCAGGGCCCCGAGCCCCAGGTGGGAGGTGGAAGTCCCCCTCCTCTGCCTCCTGAACAAAGAATGCGGCCGGCCTGGAGCTCCTCTGGGACTTGCTTTACTTACACAGGTGTAGGGAGCCGGGCAGGCTGACTCTAGAGCCAGGCACTGGGCTAGTTTCCAGGCGGCAACAGCCAGGGCACAGTGGCAGGTCCCAGTCGCTAAGAGGACCACTCTGGTTGCGGGAATGAGCCTTTTTTTTTTTAGGAGAGGAAGCTGCAGCAGAGAGGGGAGGGCAGCTGGGTTCCAGAGGGGTGGGAGAGTCAGGTGCTAGGAGGCAGCTCTGCCTCAGAGCCTGGGCCCAAAGCCGGGAGGCACCGGCTCTCTACATCCCACCCTGGCACCGAGTCAGAAAATGCCCACCGACCAGCCGCGCCCCAGGGCCCTTTGTTTAAGAAATAACCTGCACCTGAGGTCTGAGTTTGGGTAGAAGGCTCTCCTGCCTTTGAAGAGGATCCAGACGTGAACGGGGCAGCCTGTGTGAACTCTGGTGGGGTGACTCACCACCTCCATGCCGCCCCTTTGAGGCAACACCGTAGAGTGGCACCAGTCTTTCCTTTGAGGACAAAGGAAGAGGAAGGGATCTGCAGGTGGGCAATGAAAGTCCCCTTTCCTCTTTGCCTAGGGCACAAAATGGAACATAAGCACTCTGGAACTTCTCTGAGACTTGCTTTCTTCACACCGGCTATGTTGAGCCGACTGACTCTAGAGGTTTGTGGGGGCTACAGCCTCTGAAAACACTTATTAATAAAGGACAGGCTGGAAGCTTCTGGTGCTCCATAGTCACCTCCTTGTCTGACCGTCTGTAGGCTGGCTCTTCTTGTCTTCTGTCTCTTGGATTTAGTTGGTGACAGCAGGTAACTAGGTCTCCCTGTCTTTGAGCTTTGAGAATAAATCAGAGTAACTGTGGAGCAAGGCTTCCCTGGGGGCGGCTGTAGGGCAGCTCCTGCTGAGCTGAGGCCTGGGAGGTGGGGTAGGTGGAGTTCTAGGCCTGGGCTAGAGGGACATTCAGAGAGGCAGGTGGCCGGCACAGGACAGTCTTTGCAACAGAAGTTTTCACACTACCCCCCCTTCCCCGCCCCCTCCTTCCCCCTTGGTTTCATTGCGCAGGAAACTGCAGGGGAGACTCCGTGTCCCTCTGGGGCCTAGACTGGGCACTCAGGTCCCTTCCTGCTTTTCCTTCGTGAGGTCCACTTCTTCTGCTCCCGCCTCAGGAGCCAGGCCTGGGAAAGCTGGACCCACTGAGCAGCTGATCATGAGCTGTTTGTGGCACTTGATTGAGTGCTTAGTGTGAAAAGTACTGATGGCAGAGGAGAGAGGAAAGTCCTGGCAATTGTGCCGGGAATTCTGTCATTTGTCACTTTTCCACCCACTGATTCCCCAAGTATCTACTGAGCATCCCTGCAGCCTGCAAAGTTCCCTCCGGGCTGGGAAGAACCCCCAGGAAACAGACACTAGCTCTGTGGGCTGCAAAGGACGTGGCAAAGAGGGAGGGCAGCTCCCCCAGCCTGGACTAGAGGGCGGGCTGCCTGGAGAAGGGAAAGCCTGTGCGGAGCCAGGAAAGGAGCCCCAGCAGGAGGCGAGAAGGGAAATCTAGATAGAAAACAGCTACTTCCCTCTGGGCTAAGGGCGAATGCACTCAGGCTTAGAGGGGTGCAGTAAAGAAAAAAGATTAAATGAGACATTGCCCTCGCTAAAGGGCAGCCCAGTGAAACTCAGGGAAGCAAGAGGGCAGTGATGTGGCAGAACCCAGCGTGCCCAGACCTGGGGAAAGTGGGGGGGCAGCATTCAGGCAGGGGTGCCCAGAGAAGGTGGGCTTGAGAGAAAGGCAAGCCTGTGGTGGAAGGTTCTGGAGGCAGGAGATACGATAACATTGGGGAGAGGTTTGTCTTCCAAAAGTGGGAGCCTATTGAGCTCTTGGGGGTGAGGAAGCCAAGCCTGGGTGGCCATCAGAAAGGAAGCTGAGGGAGAGTGGTCAGTTGTGGGGGACACAGACAGGGAGCAGGGAGTGGGGAGAGTCAGAGCCAGGCTGAAGTGTGCCAAGCCCCAGGCATTAGAGAATTGCATGGCTGGGACCCTCTTCTCTCTCCTGGACTTCTGAAAGGTGGGGACATGGAGAGAAAAGTCCTCATTCTTGTGGGTCCCTCTTCCCCTTCTCCCCTCCTCCACGAAGGGCAAGGTAAGACTCTCGCACCTACACGGGCAGGCCTTCCTTGGGACAGTCGAGGTTCGGTCCTGTAGCAGGACCTTATGGAAGGTGCGAGTGGGCCTTGACGCAGACGCCTGCGGTGAGGGAGGTGTACCTAAGGGCTCCTGGGGCGCCGGGGAAGGGATGGCTGAGACACCACTGTCCAGCTCCCTGGGGAACAGCACCCTGGGGCCAAGCAGGAGGATTCTCAGGCACACTGAGGAGGGGAGGATTGCTCAGCCGCCCATCTGTTTTCTCTGCAATTATTTCATCCCAGGGGCCTTCTTCCAGCTGCATAACTTCCCAGAGAGGACACTGAACAGGCGGTGAGCAGATCTCATGAAGGCCAGGCAGGGAAATTGCAGCAGGACCCTGGCCAAGTCCCATCACTGCATGGGGCCTTCAGTTTCACCACCTATAATTGGGAAAGAGCAGAGTGAATCAGGGGGCCGGATGAGAGGCTTCTGACCCCTGGATGAAGGCAGGACAGAGCAGCTGTGGCAGAAGGGGGATCTGAATGTTACTGCACAAACACACACGCTCCCGGACGGGGGGACCCTGCACCCCCGAGACTCCCTGGGACAGTTCGGTGATGAGGACCCATGGAGGACACAGAGGCCATGGCCTGGCCAGGTCTCCTTGAGCTTGGAACCTCCCCCAGGAGTCCTGCACCTACAGGACCTGGCGTTAGGAGAGGAGTTGGAGGCCAAGGGAACGTCATTCATCCTTTCTGGGCCAGAAATTCTAGGAAAGCTTAACCTCATCGTGACATGAGGTCTTTGTCTGACCCCGTGACACCCCCACCTGATGAGCCAGCTGCTCTCCTTTTCCTTTCCCAGGGGCCCTGCCAGCACCTGCTGCAGATGGCCTCCAACCCTGCTGTCCTACGCAGGCCCATGACGTCAGAGTTTATCCCTCCTTTCCCACCAACCCCCCTTTTCAAACAAAAGACAGATAAGATCCACAGATAACCTTAACAGATAGGCTCAGTTTCCTGGGGGGGGGACTGCTCCCTATGAGGCTGTCAACAAGCAGGAGAGGCAATAGGAGCTGAGGCCTAAACCCTGAGAAAGTGAGCAGGGTGGTGAGGGAGATGGGCCCTCCTGGCGGAGGACGGGGTAGCATCCAGGCCTCAGCGTGGAGCACGCACCAGAT